AGCAGGAGCCTTGGGGGTGCAGCAGCCTTCAGGGGTGCAACAGGGGGGTGCAGCAGGGGCCCCGGGGGTGCAGCAGGGGTCCCGTGGGGGGTGCATGAGGATGCACCGGGTCCCGGCCCCGGGGGGTGGGGGACGCTCTTACCCGCCCTTGCAGCATGCCTGTCTCCCTCGCGCCGCGCTGTGTACCAACGTTGCCGTGGCTACCGCGCTGCCGGGCAACCCTGGCCGGGAAGCCCCGCCCCCTTCCCTGCCGGGCATGCGCTCTGCGGGCGCTTGGGCTCTGCATCGCGGGCGGGGGGTGGATGCAGCCGGTTTGGGAGCGTCGGCGCCCAGCTCTGCTGCCCTCCTTCCCGTCCGTGCTCGCCTGCATGACAGCCCCTTGGCTGGAGTTGCCACCGGGGAGGCACATCATCACATCCAGCGATTCCCCCCCCCCACTCCGGTTAAAAAGAAAGTAGGCGCTCTCCCAATAGGTGTGGGGCCTAGGGCTGGGTTCTCCAGGTAAAGATGCAAGCAGAAGCAGATGCAATGTCATTGGAAGGAGTTAAAAACCAGTCTGCCGGGTTGTGACATAGGAGCTTTGTGGCCAGGAGCAAGTAGCAGGGAGCACAGCCATGGAGCAAAGGGCAGTTTGCATCAAGACCATTAGAAAGAAGAGAGGGATGAAGAGCTGAGAAGGCATCAGGTAGATTTATAGTGAGGCTTGAAGTCAGTGCTGCCTGACTGCCAGGCTAAATGTGTTGACTTTTGGGCGGAGCAGGCCCCAAGGGCAATGCAAGTGCACCAGGGCACCCCCTGGATCTGCCCCTGGCCCAAGGGGCCCCGTTCTTAATTGGGCCTCTCCCTGCAGCAGTCCAACCCAGGGTGACTTTCACACGGACAGGGTTATTTTAATCGTTGCTCAAAATCCATCTCCTCCACGGTTAGGGATGTAATCCACTATAATATAGAGGCCACTTGCCATATATTAGTCTTCTAGGATCCATTAGTGGCTCCCATGTGTAGGGTTTGGCTGCAGATGGTATTTCTGGCTATCTGATAAGCACAGGGGACCGACTGTATATCTTTCTCCATTAGCATCAATGAAGTTATCCGAGTAATAAGCTTGCCTGTGCTCGTCAGGGCTTGGGTTCCCTTTGAGCCACTCCCAGCCATTTCATTTTCCTTTGCGTGTTGCAGTTTCAGGCAAATGACTCGTATTACCTGGGAATTACAATTTTTTTTATGTCAGCGAAGTGCTTTCCATACTAGGAAAAGCGATACAGTGAAATTTCAGCAACCAAGTGATGCAGAACACTCCTCCTTGAGTCCAGCGTTTTTTTTTCCAGAAGGACAAATACTTTCAGAAACTCTGTTCGTACTCCCTTAACGTCCCCACTCCTTTTTTAGCCTTCGGCTAAATGCCCAAAAGTCTATAATAAACTCTGGAGAAGGCAAACGTACAACTACCAGTGTTATCTGAGCAGATGTAAAAGAGCACTTATTAAAGGGCACATTTAGGTGTAAAATGCATTTCTGGAGAATCTTGTAAGTGCTTCCATTAGTCAAAAGATTGGTTTGACCTTGAGAAGTGGATGCAGTGTGCTATGTTTATTAATAGTTTTTAGCAGGAAAATGCCCATATAGGAGAACATTTTTCTTTTATTCCATTGATTTTTGAGAGTATTTTAATAGTTTTCATAACATCCTGCTGAGTCACCTAATTCCACCTCCTTCTATGTTAATGACTTGCCTATTTTGTCATATTAATACTGGTCAAAAGATTTCTCTTGATTATTGTAGGATATACAATGAGGAGCAACGGCCTGAAGCTGCAGCTGGGGAAATCTAGGTGGGAGATGAGGAGGAGCTTTTTATGACGGTGGCCAGGCATCGCAAGAGATTACCTGGAGAAGTGGGTTTTCCATGCTTGGAAACTTTTTCAAGGGCAGGCTGGACAGATACGTGGCTGGGATGGTATAGTCTGGGCCGATCCTGCCTGGAGCAGAGAGCTGGATGACCTGCTGAGGTCCTTTCCAGCCCTACTTTCCTATGGTCTAATGAGCACATAGAAACACTTGTGTCTTTGTGTTCACAAGACAAAGCTTGTTCTTTGTCTTGTGAGCACAAAGGAATTGCTGCATGTGGCCTTACTGCATTTAGGACAGCACGGTTTGAGAGCGGAGGGTTGTCAGAGGGTTGCACTGACTTTGACCCCACTTCAACCCATTGCTCCGCTGGTGTTTTGAATACGGGCTCTATAAAACGCTTCCAGCATCTGAAACGGAGAAGCCCATAGTGCTGAGTACGTGACGGGTGCAGGTCATAATAGTATGCAACGAGGGGCTGGACGTCACATGTCAGCAAAGGGACACTTGTATGTGTGATTTAAGGCTGCGGTAAGCAACCGGACCTGTGCCCTGAGGCTTGTCAATATTTTTATTGTGGGCATGGACCGGTGAACTAAAAATCCCAGCCAAAAGGGGCCCTCGTAATCCTGTGTTTAATACCAGGTTTCCTGATGCCGTGTGTGAGAAGGGAGCTGTGGTTCTTCCCTGCCCCTTATGTGATTAGGGATGCTTCAAAGCCCTCTCTCAATGTCTTGTGCTGGAAGTGCTTGCAGCAAGAATGCTTACAAGGGCCCATCCTTTCACTCACCATCCCTTTTTGTTCCCCAGGCATTGTGTTTGCACAGATGGAAACTCCCAACGCTTTCCCTTGCCTTCAAGAGCTCTTCTAGCCATTGTAATACGAATTACCTGGCAGGTGTGCGCCATAAGAGAGATGCGGAGGTTTATTGAATGCTCCTAATGCCAGGGCCACACTGCTCTCAGCGGCTCCTGGCATAAATCTGAAGGGCACCAGTGATATGTGCCTCCCTGGCTCAATTTCTGCTCTCACGTGCCTTCTCTCCACTTGGCAACCTGGCACAGCAGGCCAAATGCAATACATGCAGAGGAATGCAAAAATCTAGAACTCTTGTTTCAGAGACGATGCCTTTTATTAGACCAACTAAGAAATTGCAAAAAAAAAAAAAAAGAAATTGCAAAAAAAAAAAAAAAGAAATTGCAAAAAAAAAAAAAACAAAAAATTCAAAAAACAGTTTTTTTTTGCAAGCTTTTTGGCTCGCGGGCCCTTCACAAGGCTCAGGGAAAGTTAAAGATGGTAAAAGGGACACTTGGGGTATCTTTATACCGGATTATTTTTTTGCAGCTAGTAAACAAGGAAGGCCTCATTTCCAAAAGCCCCCAGCAAAACACTGAGGCCAAATGAAAACCTGTCTTTGCATGCAAACAGAAGTGCTTAGAAAGTGGGGCTTGTGTTTCTGTGGAGGCCCCGGAAATGGAGCCTATGTGCACGCTGCCCCTGAAATCGGGAAGTTACAGCAGCTACGAATGAAGCAGGAGGTGGCAGCAAACAGTGCATTAGAGGTGAGCCAGAGTGAACGGAGGTTTCCCCGTTAGCATTCGGACCTAATGGCAAAGGGGAAGTGTGAGCAGGGTTGCCCCTGGATTGTGCCTGGCAGCAAAGAGGAGATGTTGTTTTATCCTGTGAAGGCATCGCTGAAACACTGGTTCTCTCTCCACCCTTCCAGTTTACCTGGGTGCCCAACTAACTGAACACCCCTGGAAAGGGCTTCCTTTCTGCGCTGCATGATGCCTGTCACTCGGGCAAGCGGCTCGCGCAGGGGAGGGTTTCCAAAAGGCCATTTCACGAAAGCATTCGGCCGCGCGGCAAGGAATTTGAGTTCTACATAGTTTCCCAAGGAGCTAGATCAGCGCTGCTTGTTCTTGCTAGATAATTTATGTGCAGTGTGAAAACATCCACTTTTTAAACAGTTGCCTAAAGCTGACAGGCATTTATTATGGCATCTAGAATGACTACGACTCTTGATTGAAGTACAAATAGCACAGGATCTGCACAGATGCATAAATTACCAGCTGCTGGCAGGAACGGCCTCTTAGCACAATAAATGGCTTTACCATGTCTGTCTGCCCTAGTTTTTTCATTCTTCCCTACAGTTTAAGTCCGCGGTCTTGGCCTCCAGGTTTGCCTTTATGCATTGATGCCTCTGGTTATAGTAATAACACAGTCAGAGAAAATAAGGGCTGGAAGGGACCTCGGGGGCACATCTAGTGCAACCCCCTGCTCAAAGCAGGGCCAGCCCCAACTCCATCATCCCAGCCAAGGCTTTGTCTACCTGGGTCTTAAACACCTCCAAGGATGGAGACTCCACCACCTCTCTGGGTGACCTGTTTACGCTTATCTTGCATCTTCTCCTTGGGTGATTATAGAAGAGATGGAGATGGGTTTTTCCCCTGTGGCCCCAGGAGACAGGACAAGGAGCTAGCAGAGGAAATTTAGGTGGGAGATGAGGAGGAGCTTTCTGACCTGGAGGGTGGTCAAGCATTGGAACAGGCTGCCTGGAGAAGTTGTGGTATCTCTGTCCTTGGAAGTTTTCAAGCGTAGTTTGGACAGGCATTTTGCTGGGATAGTATAGTCACGGCTGATCCTGCTCGGAGTCAGCGAGCTGGACTGGATGCTTGGTGAGGTCCTTTCCAGCCTTCCCGTCCTATGATGGTAAGCACCAGCCCCCTGGAAGCTTTGCACAATACCGGGCAAGTCCTGGCCCTGCTGAAATCAAGGTGAGCTTTCCCAGTGACTTCAGGGGAGGATGATTATTTCACCCTAAATGTAATGAATGATCCCACATGGAGATTGTTTTGCTCGTTAGACAGATACAGCCATCCCCAGGGGAGGGAGGGGAGAGGATGCTCATAGGATGCCAATGATCATTGCACAATGGTTTAGATCAGGAGGCAAAGGCGAACTGATCTAATTGAAACTACAGAAGGATTAACTCGAGAGGTTAAAAAGTATTACGGAGGGTTGTGGCGTGATGTGGTCCTTATGCCAAGAAAGAGTGCAGCGCTCCCAGATCCTTCCTGAGGAGAGAGAGAGCTGTTAATCCTAATGTCTGACGCTGATCTTCTGCTTTTCACCAACAGCTGCAAGGGGCGTTGCAAAGGGTTTCAGCTCTGTTATTCCCTTTGTTATAGGTGGCCAGGTGACCTGGCCAGGGGGCAGTGGCAGGCCCAGGAGTGCCAGACCAGTGCTGCACCCACTCAGCCAGCTGGGCCCAATCAACAGATGGGAGCACAAACCAGGGGACAAAAATGGACCATTATTTCTGTGACCTCATGTGGCCCGTCGTGATTTCCACTTCACCTCCTTGTTTCCTGATGCACGTCAAGAAACTTTTCAAATTAGTTTAAACTCTTGGTTAGGCTTGTGTGGCCCCACTGGATCGAGATGGCAGAAAGCGGTCCACTGTTCCAGAACATGGAGGTCTGGAGAAACGGCAGCGGTAAGGATATAGGAGACCAAAGGAGTTTTTTTCCTGCCTTTTGAATTTTTCTGCAATAAATGTTGATGTTCACTGAAACGTCAACGTCTGTGATTGCATCTGTTTTGGAGGCAATGACTGAATGAGCCATTCAATGCTTACTGTC